GCATATTAACCTATGATAGTAACCGCCACCATCGTTCGTGTTTCCCACTGTCTGCTGCTAACAGCGTCACTCTGAAGGCTCCAATTAGGAACGAACCATTTAACTCAGATAGGGGGGTTCAGGGCAAATACGGATGTGTTTTTTTTTTTATCTGGGAGTGGGAACATAAATTTTTTACTGCTAAAAACAATCTTTGAAAATACAATATGATTATTTTTGTAATTGATAGGGCATCGATTTTTAAAAAAATTTTATTTCTATGAACAAAAAATAAATAACTAAATTGTGGAGGGCCCCCTGCTGGTCAGGGCCCCTAGAATTGTCATCACTTTCCCCCCCCTATACCGCGCCTCTGAAGCTAGTCATGTGACTTCCTGCGTCATCAGGAGACTCTTACGGGATTAATAACGTCATTCAGGTTCGTTGGATAATTGTAAATACTAGAAATAAAGAGAGTCAGATCTGCTCGGAATGTAACGTTTCTACGGGTTCTGGACTCAGTTCGGGTCCAGAGTCTGTAAACAGCTCCAGAAGCAGCAGTTCTACTCCGGACCGGCAGGCGGCGGCGGCGTCGTGCCCGTCCTGTTTCCCCTGTTTGCCATCTATCATGGCGGCTCCCAGCTGCAGGTGTCGTTCACGGTGAGGTTGTTCGTGGTTCGGTGACGCAGGATGAGGTGAAGAGCTTACCGGCCTCAGGTGAGACACACAGAGCGCGAGCTGGCGGGACACCCGGTAGCTGAGAACTTCCTGTCCGCCTTTCTAGCAGCAGCAGAAAAACAGAACCAGACTTCAGTCTGAAGAAGTGAAAATATCTGTTCGGCAGGTGAACAGACTTGAGATAAACACACGTGTGGGCTTTGATTAGACCGCAGCTCCTCAGTAATCCTTCCGGCTTATCAATTTGGTATGTGAGGAACTGCTTTTACTGTCCTGGACGAACTTTAGACATATTCTGTTCAAGTTTACGCGGTTTGGTCCTGGTGATGTTCTGATGTCTGAATATTATTATTTTCTAATCTACTGATTTAGTTCAGCTGTTTTCTTTCATTCGGCTTCGGTTTCATCTCCAAGAACTTTTATTTTGAAAGATTCTCTCTTGGATTTCTCAGATGAGCTGAGGGGAGTCTTCCTGTTTCTGTCATTTCAAATTCAATTTAGAAATACTTTATTGACCCCCAAAGGAAAATAAAATGTTGTAACTCATTAATTCAACATTTTTCACAGTTATTGTAGATAGTGATCTGCTGTAGCAGTCTGTCTTACATTGAACTGGAAGACGCTTCTGACCGACACCGTTTCATGAAGAGTTGTCCTTAATTTTCTTGATTTCATGTGAAATCCTTCTTTCCATCATCATCATCAACATCTCCAGAGTTTTCACAATAAAAGTAAAATAAATAAATCAAAATGTGTTTCCTCCACAGTCACTTCCCAATCTGTCCACTTATCACTTAATACTGGGAGGTGATTTTAACTGCCGGCTTGATCCTCAGCTGATTGGCTCTGCCTTCACACTCATCCAAAATTATTAACTCCTTTATGTCTGAATTTAATGTTCATGACGCCTGCTGTTTTCTTCACCCCTCCCAGGTTTACTCGTTTGTATCCCCAGTCCACCACACCTTTACGCGTATTGATTTTTTTTCTTGATTGATAATAAATTGCTGTCCTCTCTCACTGGGTGCAAATATGATGCTATTGTTCTATCAGATCACGCCCCAGTTTCTATAATATTAGATTTGACTCTCACCCCATTGAGGGCCCACCGTGGAGGCTGGGCATCCATTTGCTATCAAATGAAAAATTTGCATCTTTTGTGGCACGACAAATAGATTATTTTCTAGAAAATAATAAAGGTCCTGAGGTGTTGGCCTCACTACTCTGGGAGACACTTAAAGTCTTCATCAGAGAGGAAATTATCTCCTATGTAAAGTATGAAAATAAGCTGCAAAGAGAGAAAATTAGTACTTTGACACACTACATTACTCAGATTGACAACTTGTATGCAATATCACCTTCTCCCACTTTGTACCAGGATCACCTTGTGTTGCAAGCTGAGTTTGATGTGCTCATGACACAAATTACCACTGAGCTGTTGCTTCAGTCTGGTGCCCAGTTTTACAAACATGAAGATGAGGCTGGTAAACTCCTGGCTCACCAAATTCGACATGTGTCAGCCTCTTGCCACATCTCTCAGATCCAAACTACCCAGGGTGTCACAACTGACCCAATGGAAATTAATTTGGCCTTCAAGGATTTTTATAGGACATTATGCTCCTCAGAATGTACTCCTGTAACTGATTTTGATAACTTTTTTAATGATTTGGAAATTCCTATCAGTCACGATGTAGCTGACAATCTTGAGAGACCTATTGTCATCTCTGAACTCACTGAGGCAGTTAAGGCCCTGCGGGGGGGCGGTAACTGCCCAGGCCCTGACTGGTAACTGCCCAGGCCCTGCGGGGGGGCGGTAACTGCCCAGGCCCTGACTGGTAACTGCCCAGGTCCTGACTGGTAACTGCCCAGGCCCTGACTGGTAACTGCCCAGGTCCTGACTGGTAACTGCCCAGGCCCTGACTGGTAACTGCCCAGGTCCTGACTGGTAACTGCCCAGGCCCTGACTGGTAACTGCCCAGGTCCTGACTGGTAACTGCCCAGGTCCTGACTGGTACCCTTGTGAGTTTTATGGGATATTGTGGGACACCTTTCTCCACTGCTTTTAGAGGTATACAATGAATCTTTGACTTCTGGGCGCCTACCTCAGATCCTTAATCAGGCAGTTATTACTTTACTTGCTAAAAAAGGCAGAGACCCTCAACTCTGTTCTTCCTATCGCCCAATAAGTTTACTTAATGTTGATTTTAAATTGCTAGCAAAAACAATAGCACTGAGACTAGAAACGGTGCTTCTAGTCTGTGGTTGGAATTGGTCAGAGCGGCTTTGTACAAAATAGGAACTCCTTTTCCAACATAAGACTTTAATGTATACAGCCCACCCTCTGGCAGTACTCAAGAAGTTGTGATATCTTTGGACACCGAAAAGGGCTCCAACAGAGTCGAGTGGCCATATTTATTCTACTTGATTAAGAAATTTGGCTTTGGGGAGAATTTTCTGTCTTGGATTAAGTTACTTTATTCTGACCCATATGCATCGATTAGGACAAAATACTCAATCTGGCTATTTTCGTCTCAGTTGCTCTATGCGCCAAGGCTGCCCGCTGAGTCTGCTATTATTTGCTTTGGCAATTGAACCCTTCGCAATAGCACTTAGATGTAATACAAGCATTATTGGTATTTAGAGGAATGACATGGAAACCAAGGTTTCTCTATAAACTGATGATCTTTTGTACATCTCTAATTTGAATATTTCTATTCCTGCTGTACTTGCCACACTTGATAAATTTGGGCAGCTGTCAGGTTATAAATTAAACCTCAGCAAAAGTGAATTATTCCCAGTTAATGCATTAGCTAAAAGTTACCCACTGCATACATTACCATTTAAGGTCGTAGACCAGAGCTTTACCTACTTAGGGATCCAGATTACATCCAAATACAAGGATCTTTTTAAAGCTAACTCCTCCCCTTTATTATTTCATGTTAAGGACTTTGATCGGTGGTCGGTGCTTGGCCTCTCGTTGGTTGCTCGGGTTAACTCAATCAAAATGAATATCCTGCCGCGTTTTTCCTACCTATTTCAGTGTATCCCTATTTTTCTTTCACGGACCTTTTTCAGCAAACTTGATGGTATAATTACCAAATTTCTCTGGAACGGGAAGGCTCCTCGTATACGTACTCGGTTCTTACAGAGACCTAAAAGGCTTGGGGGAATGGCCTTGCCAGATGTTAGATATTATTATTGGGCCTCAAATATTAGACTTTTTAGATATTGGCTTGATGCTCTTCTCCAGGTTGGCTTGTTATGGAGGCCAACTCTGAAAAACCTGTGTCCTTAGCAGCCTTACTACATTCACCATTACAGTCTTCAACTAAACTTTATACTTCTAATAAAATAGTCGATGCGTCCTTAAGGCTGTGGATGCAGTTGAGACGGCATTTCGGCTTGCGAGCTCCTATAGCTTCAAATCATACCTTTCCACCGTCTCTCTCAGACGGCATCTTCCTGTTGTGGCGGAGAATAGGAATTTCAACTTTTCATGACGTGTATCTTGATAGTACTTTTGCCTTGTTCCAACAAATCTCTGAGAAGTTTCATATCCTGCGCCATCAATTTTTTAGATACTTGCAAGTGTGCAGCTTTGTCCTCTCTACCTATTCAGATTTTTCCAACCTTCCCAGGGAGTCAGGGAGTCACCCTTGGGTATTTTTCTAAAACCTCCTGTCAAACTGAAAGGGGCTAGATCTTTTATTTGCAATGAAATTACTCTTCTACGCCCACAAACCTTGAATTCCTTTAGATCTTTTTGGGAGGAAGACCTTGGACACAAATCCTGTCATTAGTACATAAGTCCTCCATTTGTGCCAGACATAATCTAATTCAATGCAAACTTTGCACTTATTATACTAAAGCACGTCTGGCTAAGTTTTATACCAACGTTTCTCCTGCCTGTGATGGATGCCAGCGTTCTCCAGCTAATTTGATCTGCACTATCTGGCTCTGCCCTCAGCTTTTTAATTATTGGTCCAAAGTTTTTGCTATTCTGTTGGACATTTTTGACAAGAAATTGGAGTTTGGCCCCTTGACTGCTTTGTTTGGAGTTGCACCTCGCCAGTCCACCCAGTCCTCCTTTCAGAAATCCTCCTTGGCTTTCTTGGCATTTTTGGGGCAGAGTGATAATAATGTATTTCATTAAACTAGAGAAAATCTGTTTTACTTTAAGAGGCTCTTTGAGATTTTTGGTTTGTGGAGCCGCTTGTTAAGAACCCTTAGATGAATATATATATATAATATATAATATTGCAGATGGTAAGGTGGTATGTACATAGCTGGTGTTTATTATTATTCTTATCTACATCTCTTTTACTTTCATCTTTTGTCTTGAGTTAAGCTTGGCCGATATAGTGACAGAAATATCCTCTGGCACTGAAATGTATGTATTTATTTTTTGTTGTCTTTGTGGGTTGAGGGAAAAAGATTTACACATATTCAGTTCTGTCCTCCGTTTTATTTTTTGATGTATCCGTTACTTGTCTAACGCAGTAAGTTTGTTCTGACTGCATCTCATGTATGTGTGTAACTGGGTGTGTTATAGCCCAGTTATGTTAATGGTACAATGTTAGCCATGTAGCTGCGGCTCTGCCTTTACACTGGAAATCAGGACAGATGCAGCGCTGCTGCAGTTTGTCTCCTGGCTGAACAGAAACGCTTGTCCTCCACCTGTGTCTCTGTAGCTATGAGTGTGATGTCATCAATGATGCGGGGTGCACGGCTGCTCCGGAGCTCCGCCCCCCTGCTCACCTGGCCTCAGAGCAGACGACTGGCCTCCAAGCAGGTAAGGCTGTGGATGTTAGCTTAGCTTGTGGTTGGTGTCCTGGACTAGAGTAAAGGCTGATGACTCACTTGGTGCAGGTCAAAGGTCAGAGGAAGGAGCAGAAGAAGCCCAAAGTGGACAAACAGGAAGTGGAGATCAGACAGGGCATGACGGCGGCGGCGCTGGCGGCGGCCATGAACAGAGACTTTGGTGAGCAGCGTTAGCTAACCCCGACGACCCGATTCTCCTGCAGATTCTACTGACCCGGTTCTGCTACAGACCACGTTGTGGAGGCGCTGCTCAACACGCCGGCGGACCTAGACTCGCTCCGGCCCGACTCGGTTCTGGAGGACAGCTGCATCAAGGAGGCGGTGATCCGGTCCGGGATGAAGTTCAGATGGGCCAAGCTGGGCGAGAGCCAAGAGCGGCCCAACAGAGACGCCCAGAGGAGGTACCGGCAGCACCGGATGGGACCGGACCTGACCATCATCCAACTGACCTGTCTGTGACCCCTCTGTGACCCCAGGCCCCCTGCTGACCCCGCGCTGCTGGTGAGTCGGCCCCCGGTGGTCACCATCATGGGTCATGTGGATCACGGGAAGACGACGCTGCTGGACAGCCTGAGGAAGAGCCAGCTGGTCGCCACGGAGGCCGGCGGCACCACGCAGCACATAGGCGCCTTCCTGGGTAACGGGTGCCAACGAGGGCGGGGCCAGCTGGCAGGCTCCGCCCCCAAAACCCCAGATCAGATTCTTTGTGGAGCTCCTGACGTCTGTCTTTCTGACCTCCAGTCCAGCTGCCCACCGGGGAGCGGATCACCTTCCTGGACACGCCGGGCCACGCCGCCTTCTCCTCCATGAGGGCCCGCGGCGCCCACGCCACAGACATCGTGGTGCTGGTGGTGGCGGCCGACGACGGCGTCATGAACCAGACCGTGGAGTCCATCCAGCACGCCAAGAACGCCAAAGGTAGGAGTGGGTGTCATCAGGCGGCGCCGGGTTGTTCTGAGGTTCTGGTTCTGACGTTCTGCTTGCGGCCCGGCCCAGTCCCCATCATCGTGGCGGTGAATAAGTGCGACAAGCCACAGGCCGACCCCCAGCGGGTGAAGCAGGAGCTGCTGGCGCACGGCGTCGTCTGCGAGGAGTTCGGCGGCGACGTTCAGGCCATCCACATCTCGGCTCTGAAGGTGATCCGACCCGACTGGAGCCGCCCCGGTCTGGCCGACCCACGGCGCGGCCTCAACGATGATGTCGCTGTTTCCAGGGCGACAACCTGCAGGCTCTGGCCGAGGCCACGGTGGCGCTGGCCGAGGTTCTGGAGCTCAAGGCGGACCCGGGCGGCCCGGTGGAGGCCGTCCTCATCGAGAGCCGGACCGACAAGGGCAAAGGGTGAGTCCTCCAGAACCGGGTCCGGTTCTGATGGGGGTTCCGCTGACGGGCCCGCTTCCTGTTCCCAGCCCTGTGACTACAGTCATCGTCCAGAGGGGGACGCTGCGGCGCGGCTGCGTTCTGGTGGCCGGCTGCTGCTGGGCCAAGGTCCGCTTCCTGTTCGACGAGAACGGCTGCGCGGTGCTGGAGGCGGCGCCGAGCGCGGTGGTCCAGGTGGTCGGATGGAAGGAGCTGCCGTCTGCCGGAGAGACCGTGCTGGAGGTGGAGTCAGAGGTGAGGGCCAGAACCGGTGTCCGATTAGTGAATCAACAACAGTTAACTTTGGTTCTGGTTGCTAGAATCCCCACATGTACAAACAGCCCGTCCTGTCAGAGCTGTGCGTTAGCTACTTCCTGTGTGGACCGCTGCAGTAAAAGCCTGTCCTGTGGCCTGCAGCAGCGGGCCAGAGAGGTGGTGGAGTGGAGGAGCCACCAGGCGGAGCAGCACAAGCTGCTGGGGGAGCAGAGCGCCATCGAGCTCAAGCAGCAGCGCCACCTGGAGGAGTACCGGCGGGAGCGCGAGCCGCTGGCCCACCTGAGCTGGCGCCAGAGGAGGGCGGCGCTGTACCGGGCCGACAAGATCCGCTTCTCGATGCGGCCCAGCGAGCGGACGGAGTGCGACGAGCCCGGCCTGCCGCTCGTCATCAAAGGTGGGGACGGCGCTACGCCGGCTCCGCCCGGCGTGACGTCACTGACCGGTGACCTCTGACCTACAGGTGACGTGGACGGGTCGGTGAAGACGCTGCTGAACATCCTGGACGGCTACGACGCCCAGGACGAATGCCGGCTGGACGTGATCCACTTCGGCGTCGGCGACGTCTCGGAGAACGACGTCAACATGGCCGCCACGTTCGGAGGTAGGTGTTCTGGTGCCAAGCGGGGCCAAGCAGTGTTGCCTTGGTAACGGCAGCAGGTTCCGGTTCTGTTCCTCAGGGTCGGTGTACGGCTTCAACGTGGCGGCGAGCCGCGGCGTGACGCAGCTGGCGGCGCGGAGGGGCGTGGCCCTGCACCTGCACCGCGTCATCTACCAGCTGGTGGAGCAGCTGCGCCACGAGTTGAGCAGCAAGCTGCCGCCGCAGCGCCGCTGCAGCACCGTGGGTGAGTACAGGTCCAGAACCACTTCAGAACCGGGTCAGACTGCTTCCATCTGAAGCAAACAGAACTGACTGGCACCTCTGCTCTGTCCACCTGTCCCCCGCCTGCAGGTGAGGCGACGGTCCTCGCCATCTTCACCGTCTCTGTGGGGAAGAAGGAGGTTCTGGTGGCTGGTTGCCGGGTCCAGAAGGGCCAGCTGGACCGGCGGCTGAAGTTCAGGCTGATCCGAGGACGAGACACGGTGTGGGAGGGTGAGTGAGACCAGAACCAGGCCGGGCCCAATTGGTTCTGAACCTTGAGGATTTATGTGTTCGGGTCCTGATGGTTATCCAGTTCATCCTGGTCAGAATGAACTGGTTCATGTTCACAGTTCACCACCATGAACTAGTTCTCCTGGTCAGGAGCTTCTCTGATTGGCTGAGCAGGAGGTCAGAGGTCAGGTGGAACCTTCAGACATCATTAAACACCAGTTTCATTAAACCAGTGCTGCCAGTCATCCTTATGTACACGCTGCTCAAAGCCTCCCCATTAGCAGTAACAGAAGCGTTCCTGTACGTCGTTTCTGCCAATAGAACGTTTGGCAGCAGATGCATAAGGATGATTGACGGCTCGGGAGCAGTGCATCACCATGGAGATGGTTAGGGTACAGAAGTTGCATGCTGCAGCTTTAATGAGCCGGTTCTGGTTCTGGTTCTGCTGCAGGTTCTGTGTTGGCGCTGAAGCACCATAAGGATGACGTGGCGACGGCGAAGGCGGGCATGGAGTGCGGCGTGTCGGTGGACGGCGAGGTGGACTTCAGCGCTGGTGATGTCATCGAATGCTTCGAGGAGCAGGAAGTTCCTCGGGTCACTTCCTGGGACCCTGGGTTCTGACCGGACCCTCAGACTGAGAAACTACTCCGTTTGGTTCTGGAACATTTTATTAATATTTCATGAAAACAAATCTGATCATCGATTCACATGTTCAAATAAATGATTCCAACATCCAGACCCGACCGCTTCATTCCAGACAGGAAGTTCCGCCTTCCAGAGGAACCTCCCAGCTGGGTCTACTTCCTCCTGGTTCTGGCGAGCAGTGCCGGGTCGATCTGGTCTGGACTCAGGCCTCTGACGGAGAAGAGGCGGGCGGCACGCTCCGATAGCGTTCCCCCACACTTCAGGCCGCGGCGCATCAGTTCCTCCTTCAGAACCTCCAGACCCAGAGACTCCAGCTGCTGGACGGATGGCACCGAGGACAGGTCCAACTGCTGAGGCAGAACCAGAACAGTCAGAACCCAGCAGAGGGTTCTGCTCTAAATCACGTTTAAGCATCTGGATTCTGGTTCTGACCTGATCTGGTTCCCTGCAGCCCTGAGGAGGGTTCTGGTCCGATGACAGTTCAACAGCCGGTTCCGTCGGGAGTCCGGGGTTCTGGACCTCTGAGGTTCTGGCGGTTGGAGCGGCTGAAGCGGTGCTGGAGGAGACAACAGAACTTGAGGCTGGATGTGGATCTGGGTCATGGGAACTGGTTTGGTTCTGGTTCTGATGGTGAACTGGTCTGGTTCGGATCAGTTCTGCTTAGAGTGAACAGCTGATTCTGAATCAGAACTGAGAATATTTCAGCTTCTTGGACCGGCGCTGGACGGGTTTCTGCAGCTGGACCATCTGGACCCCCGGATTATGAGGAACCAGTTGGAACCATCAGAACCAGTTTAGCCAGCGCTCCCAGGAACAGAACCCACCCTGAAGCTAAACATGGATCGGTCCAGAACCAGCCGGTCCGATCGGTGGACTCTGAACCTGCAGCGCCTCCAGCTGGTCAGACATGGAAAAACCTGTTGATCTAACGCTGACCTTTGACCTCTGAGGATCAGGAACATCCATCAACAGACCTGCTGCTGGGTCCAGGCTCCGCCTCCTCCCTCTGGGTCGTCATGGTAACGGCTCCTCTGCTGCTGCGTGGAAACTCTTCATCATCTTCATCCTCAGAGCTCAGCAGCTCCTCCAGTCCCGTCCTGTAACCATGGCAACAGAGGTTCAGAGCCGGGCTGTGCTCCCTTCACCGGGTCAGAACCTCACACACTGACCAGAACCCGGCCGCCGCTGCAGTCTTCCTCCTCTTCCTTGCAGGGGCTTGGTTCTGATCCGGGTCGGCTCCGACCTTCACCTGACCGCTGGAGGTCGCCTGCAGGCCTGCAACACACACACACACACACACACACACACACACACCTTAAAGATCCAGAGCTGCAGCTGGGCCGGCCCGCTGCCTGGTTCTGACCCGTCACCTTTCAGAACCGAGTCCTCCAGACGCTCGCTCAGGTCGTGGCACTGCTGCTGGTACTGCGGGTCGGCGAACTGATGCCGTGGCTCTGACAGCTTCCTCTGCAGACGCTCCAGCCGCCGCTGCTCCTTCTCCGCCTCGCGCTCCGACTGCTTCTTCAGCCAGTCCGCCATCCTACCAGAACCAGAACCAGAACCTGTCTGGACCCTTCACTACAAAACAACATCCAGAGCAAGAGGAGGAGCTTACTCCTTCTCATGGTTAACGTCTCGAAGGCGGCGGCCGCTCAGGTCTCTGCAGGCCTCTCTGTTGGTCGTCTTCTCGATCTGCGCTCCCAAAGCCCGGAGCATGGACCCAAAACCTGGAAAACCAACGAAACATGGACCCAAAACCTGGAAAACCAACGAAACATGGACCCAAAACCTGGTCATGAGATCGGAACATTTCCGGGAACTGACCTCCCTTCCCTCCACGGAGCCGGGGCTCCAGGCGGTAGACGGCCCCATCCTGCAGCCGCTCCTCCAGCCCGGTCAGACGGCCGTTAGTGGTGACGTACCAGTCCTGATGGGAAATACTGGATCAGTAAAGATTCCTACAAACTGGACCCGAGACAGAACCAACGACCCGTCACCACTTCAGGATGAGACCTGACCTCTGGTTCGGGTTTTTAGTTTCTGACGATCTAAAGGCCACAGCCCTGTGGGACACCGTCACAAAATGGTGGATAAATCTAAATCATTAAATACATTTATTTAGAATAATACAAATGTTCTATAAACACGAAACTTTATTTGTTCAGAGTTTCGCTCAGAGTTTGACAACCGTTTGAACTCCCAGTTCCACTGAAACTGGAAGTGCCGGTATCAGAGTTGGTCCCAGCAGGAACTACATCTGAACACTAGTTTTCCTGATTTAATGTTTCTTTTGCATTTAGTTATTTTCTGTTTCTGTCGTACTTCTTTACATTCGTGCGGACAATAAAGGCTTAGAAAAAACAAACAACCCATCTGATTATTATTATAAAGTTTATTTGATAGGGACAGACACACATCGACATAGACAAACTGAATAAAACATCTTCCCATGTTTGCATCGTGGTGCAACAGCAACAGCTAATTCGCAGCACTTGTCCCTAGTTGGGCTTTTTGAAAAATAACTAAAAATTGAAGTGATAATCATTTAAAATAGCACAACATAATGTATACAAACAGAAAAATGTAAATCAAAAATGGGTACAGTTCTGTTTTTGATCACCTCCGGGAAACTGTAACATCTTAAATGAACTTTAATACAGCTCCGAAGTAAAACAGGAGATTTATGTTAAAGCTTGTTGTTAACCTATAGCATGTTCAAGTGTGCAGATTTTTTTTAATTATCCCTGTTAGCCTCCGGTAGCTTAACAGCTAACAGGCTTCCAGCTCCGATTTAAACCCTTTAACCCCACGCTAAGGTTCGGTTCCGGTTCTGTTAGATATAATCACTCACCTGGTGCGGGACGAACCGTTCCAGAACATCTCTGACAACAGAACCAGGTGGAAACTCGAAGCTTGAGCACCTAAAGCTCGGAGCAACAACAAAGACCTCCATTTTGGCTCCGTTTGTTACACCACTGAACGGTCTGCGCAGGCGCAGGACTTTATAGGGACGTCTCATAGGCGCCTCCTGGCGCATAGGATTAGAATCGATGCTCTTGGGGTGAAACACGAACCAGTATATACGTAAAGTAATATACTTAAATTTCTATTTATTTCGAACAGACAATAATAAACAAACAACCAAACTTTTAAACTTGAAAAGTTTATGAAGTTATAAAAGATTTCCAGTTTAGATTTGCATTAACCTTCTAAAATCGGCCGGGGACGGCGCTGTGGCCCAACAGGAAGTCAAAGGGAACTCGCTTATTTCCGGTATTGGAGGACAACATGGCGGCCTTGTGTAAACTGAGGTTCGGGTGCCGGTCCGCGTTCCGCTTTTCCTCAAGCGTTTCCGTCCGGACCTCCTTCAGCTCAGACAGTGAGGACGGAACCAGAGCCGGGGCCGGCTTCGCGGCAGCCTTTCAGCGACAGGCGGAGCTCCAGCGGGAGGCAGAGAACTCCGCGCCCGATCAGAGTGGCTCCATCCCCGGCCAGGAGCAGACCTTCGCCTCGCTCTTCCAGGCGGTTCCGGTCAGAGACAAGGTTGTGGTTGGAAACATCTTCCATGTGGTCCGGGATGACCTGTACATCGACTTCGGAGGGAAGTTTCACTGCGTCTGCCGGAGACCCGCGGCCGGAGGAGAGAGGCTGCAGCGGGGCTCCAGGGTCCGGCTGAAGGTCCTGGACCCGGAGCTCACCGCTCGGTTCCTCGGAGCCAAGACCGACACCACCCTGCTGGAGGCCCAGGCGGTCTTGCTGGGCCCGCTGGAGGAACGGGAGGCCCAGGGACGGGTGCAGAAACAGGACTAGAACCGGAACAATGGCTGAAGCCAGAACCGGGACCAAAAACAGATCTGGTTCAGGGTCTGGACCGTTGAGTGAATTGTTGAATTAATCTTTTAAATCAAGTTTGTGTAAAATGATCGGAATAAATATTTATAAAGTACTGAAGTGTTTCTGTCTGCAGTTTGTGAGACCCAGTTTGCTCGAGTGTGGCCCAAACTAAGCCAGTAAGATCAGAACCAGGGAATCAATCAGTCAGGATGTTCTGATGAGCCAGGTCAAACCCAGCACTGAGATCCAGGGATACCAAGACCGACGTTCTGGACCCACTGCTGTTACGATGTGGATCATCCAGAACTTTTACCAACGGTTCCTGTTCTGTGGTCCAGGACCGACTGGGAACAGCTGTGAGACCGGAACAGGTTCGTTAATACCTGGAGCAGTTTGGACCGAACCTGGGATGAACCCATTAGTACCCGAGTCCTTTATTATCCACCCATTAATGTGTTCATTATTGAACCTTTTCCTGGTTCAATAATCCGCCAGATCAGAGATTAACAAACATCTTCAGTTGGATTTATCCAGGAGAAATACTTGGACTAGACCCATGGAGAGGCAGCTTTTCAGTACATTTACAGAAATAAGTTGAAAGGCAACTTTGAGCAAATTGAATTATTTTATTTTAAAGCTCATATGTATAAACAGGCTAATAACATTTTATGTAATCCAAAAGTAGAATTTTATATTCTAGTAAAGGATGTTTTTTAGGCCCCAGAGGTTTGTGGCCCCAAGCCTTTTACAAACTGAGGATTGAAAATGTTCTCCGATTTAAATGGGGCCCCTCACTCTGCCGGGACAGATCCTATGCCAACAGATTGGGCTGGAGTTTGTGGTTCAGTTCTCCGTCTGTCTTGCAAATTGTTCTCCCAGCGCGCTCATCCGGGCTTAAAGAGCTCCGTCTGGGGGCCGGATTTCCGGATTTCCAAGCAAAGCGAGCATTGGACCAAACAGCCCGCCTCAACTAAACTGTAGATAATAGACAAAGATGTCTGCCAATCAGAACTCTAGCTCCGGTGTTCTTGACCAATGAATGTAAGACGGTTTGTAGAAAAGAAGCGCGTGCGTTCGGTTAAATCAATGCGATATGAAAGAAGATGGAGTTTCTCACCCGGTAAAGAAACACGATTACTTGAGAAAGGAATTAAAAACAGGTGGCGCTGGGCAAAGGAAAGGGGACAAGACGGGAAGCTGGCGGACATTTTTTCCTCTGGGGGGCGTTTGGTCGAAGGTAAACTTTACACCATATGCACAACAATACCAGTTTAGACTTTGAGCAACTTGGTAAAATTGTATTGTGTAACATTAAATCATGCTTGGCTGCAACGGTATCAATGGCATTTCTTCTTCTTCTTCTTCTTCTTCTTCTTCTTCTCTTCAGTGTTTGTAGCTTGTAGCTCCTCCCCTGCTACTAGTAGCTTCACTGCATCAGTTCAGCGTCTCACGGGCTGATGACGTTGGTGTGATCCACTTTGTCTGCTGTCTGATTTTCAGATATTTTATGTTTTATTGAGGATTTTTGTACATCTTTTTTTGGCAGTTCTGTGATCATGTCAAAGCAGCAACTTATATTAAAAAGTTTTATTTCCGTTTGAAGGCTGCCCGCTTCCATGGAAGGACAACAGAAAATCGCTCTTATAAACATGTTATTACTAAAATTACGATACCCTCACTGTGTATCCCTCTGAAAAATGAACCCATTTAAATAAAGAAATCCCTCCATGGTGATACAACGATAGTGAGCGTTCATTTTATAGCGTTAACACCGGAGCTGTTAGTGGTCCGGTATGAAACGGGGGGAGATAGAACAACACAGCACTTTTAAATTTCAATAATCAGAATACCGAAATTGTTTCCGTTGTTTCAAAAGGTTTATGTCAGTCTGTCTTTTCCCCATNTGCCAGGGGCTCAGTAACCTGGTTTCGTGGCCCTGTGACATCACCGCCTTCACTCATGTCTCTGTTTTGCCCCTTTGTTTTGTCTGAAAGTTGCCATTTGCCCTAATGTGTCCTTTCCTCTTTTTTGTTTTATTTTGTTAGAAACGGTGGAGTACTCACTGTTTAACCCAGAAAAGGATTATTTTAGTTTATTGTGGAGTACGCGCTATTCAGAGCATTATACAGCCCAGAAATGGAATCAGAATTAGAATTAGAATAACTACGAACTTGGAATCCAGAAATACTTAACAGGATCAGTCACTGCTTAATTACTTTTATATTACAACTTTTTAGAAACTGTAACGACTCACTTTACACCAGAAAAGGACTTAGATTAGTCATTTTGCTTTTTTCTTCCTATTCTTTCCTTTTTTTTGTTATTTTGTTTGTATTTCCTTTTAATTCATGTAAAGCACTTTGAATTGCCTTGTTGCTGAAAATGTGCTATATAAATAAAATTACCTTACCTTACAAGAATACCGTCATTAGCAGAATAATTTAAATATTGGCAGAGTAAAGACGCAGTATTGCCGGAAGAAAGTCGTTAAATTAAAAAACTGATAGAGTGATGTGCAACGTGACCCGCTCAGCAAGTCTGGTTCTTTCTATTAAATAAAAAGTTGTGTAAGCATCGTTTCAGTCTTAGGGCTGAACATTTTCTTCTGATGTGCTAAAACATTTAGTATTTACTCATTTGTTAAACCAATGCCAACTATAACCTTACAAGATCAGTATTCCGTAATTTAGCGCAGTATGGTGAAAAGTCATCATAAGATTACGACTTTATTCTCGTCCAACTTTACTCGTATTTAAAACAAGTCAAAAACTCAGAGCCTGGCCCTTATACTCCATCATAAGCAAGTAACTGTAGTTTGCAAAAAATGGCCGACTGGCTAAGGAAAGTACCGATCGGGTAAGGATACATATTAATGTTAGTTTTAGTACAACAGAAATAAAGGGTATAATTAAACAAAAAATAAAATAGAGGTGGCAAACGTTAGGAAAGGATGGTGGTTTCATGAAATCCAAAAGAGAATTGGACAAATGAGAAGAACAGAAAGAAACAGGAGAGAAGAGATAATTATTTTATGACTTGGAATCAGACACACTGGAGTGAATAGTTCATTATTTCTGATAGAGAAACACCAGACAAGGAAATGTGACTGTGGGGAACATGAGACAATACAACATGTTATTGTGTATTGCAGGAATTACCAGATTTAGATAAACTAGTTAATTAGGAACGCCAGTAATATGAATGGTAATGCTTACCTAACATTTTTTGCCAACCGCCAATAAATTTCAAGAAGAAAAAGAAGACCTTCTCCTCCGGAGCAACAGGGGGCGATAAGCTGTCTGTAGTCCAGCTGCTAGCTGCCGGTTGAACAGGAAGAAGACCGAGAGCGCAGACAACGGTGTGGCTCCTGCCTACCTCAGAACAGGTGAGTTTTCTTTGCTCCTTTAACTCCAATCAAAAGAAAGTGACCCAGGTTTGGTCTGGCCGATGATCCGGATTGTTCTGACCGGGGGTGAAGCCCGCCGCTCCAACGGAAGTGGTTTAAACTGGAGCTGTTAGCCGTAGAGCTAACAGATGCTAACATTAGCCTGACTTGCTAAAATAGAATGAATTAACTAAAACGGACAAAAACATGAATTTATTGATGAGTTTTGCCAGAATATTCAGCCTAGGCATTTTCCATATTCAGCTTTGAATTTCCTTCAGTTTGTTCAGTATTTCGTTAAACTTGTTGGGACAGAAATAATTTATCAACCTGAATGTTCTGATTGTAAAGACGGTCAATGTTGAAACAGAAACATCCCGTTTGAGTCCCTCTGTTTTTCTTCTTATTAGTTCTTATTTTAAATCTCTTGTTTTTTATTTTAAATTAAAATTCAAAACTACTTTATTAATCCCAAAGGGAAATTAAATATAAAATTAAATGAGCGTACTGTAGCATCAGAGTGTTAGGATGGAGACATCAGGGTCTGTCCGGTTATTTGGGCCAGTGATGGAGGAAATTATTCAGCTTTAGTTTTTTGATTTTCTGTTGAGTGACATCATTTAACCCATAAAATAAAGAGGTTAAAGGTGAAAAACCTCCTTAATGTGACTCAGGTTAACCTTTGACCCAGCAGCCGAGTTTAGGTGACTGGGTGTTTCAGAACTACCAGCAGATCCGGTCCAGTTTCAGGGCAACATGTTTCCTACAGTCTAAGGATGCTGAGAGGGTCCAATAAGTCAGGACAGGTCCAACGCCTGGGCCTCATGGCGGACAACGGCCCGCCGTGCCCTATCTGGGGTGGATGACGGGTCGCTGTGCCCCCCGGGTGGACAGCTAGGCGTCAGCATCTCTCCTCATGTTTCCTCAGATTCAGACATGGACATCCGGCCGAATCACACCGTCTACATCAACAACATCAACGATAAAGTGAAGAAAGAAGGTCAGTGCAAACTGCTTTACTGTCTTCATCTTCCAACATCTAGATCAGCGGTTGGTAACGTGGGCGGTACCGCCCCCAGGGGTGTTCAGAGGACAGCAGGGGGCGCTGGGATTCTTCTGGGGGGCGTTTGGTCAAAGGTAAACTTTACACCTTAAATGCACAACAATACCAGTTTAGACTCCGAGCAACTTGTTAAAATTGTATTGTGTAACATTAAAACATGCTGCAACTGTATCGATGGCAGCCCTTCTTCTTCTCTTCAGTGTTTGTAGCTTCTTGGTGCAGCTCATAGGCCCTGGAACAGTGGGAGCCAGGGGCCATTGGCCCCCCCACTTTACGGCCCTGCCCTGCTGGTCCCGCCAGACATTTTGGCTGCACATAACTCTGACAGTCTGACAGCTGTCAGTGTTTCTATGCAGACAGAGGCACAGATAAAACCTGCAGCACTGAGGTCTGGACCAAAAGGCTCCAGATCATAACGGTCACCCAAAGGTTACCACATGGCAGCTCCGGGTCGGGTTGGGACCAGGAACCGGTCTGACACCTGAAAACAGGCTCTGGCTCTGATCCGGTCCAGATCTGAACCAATTCTGCCTAAAAATTAAGTAAGATTTCTGTATTTGTCACCATTTCACTGTGACGATGATGATAAAAAAAGAGACATCGGGCCCACATGTCCGTTTACGGGCCGGACCAAATGCTCAGCCACACTTCGCCCAGAGCAGATCATTTTGGCTCAGGTCGAAAAATAATTGCATGAATTTGTTTTTTTTCCCTCTTTGCTGTTCCAAAAGCCAATCAGCCGTCAGGAGCCATAAGTATTGATCCCTATTGATGGATTTCTCTGTTGGCTGTTGAAATTCATGTTTGTGCTAAATAAGAAGCACATTAAAGTTTATTCATGGTGTTTTTCATTTTGTTTTTAATGCAAAAATATTGTCAGCAGTCTGGCTGGTTATCTGTCCCACTCACATCATCTCTTTCCCGCACAATTTGTGGAACAAGCAGCAAATCTCATCTGCGCTGCCTTTTGGTTTTAGACCCTCAGTGCAGAGCTGCTGCGCCGTGACATGATGATGGAGCCATTAGTTTGTCCTGCTGCTCTAAACTGGCATTGCTGGAGGATTTATTTTATTATTGTTTTTTATTTTACAAACATTTGACCAGTCGTGACTTTTGTCACATCTATCTTATCCTCGGCATATTTTGTGTATTTTGGATTTGTAGTAAGTAGCTGAGCACAGAGCGCCCGCAGCTGTAGCACTGTGTGAACCTTGATATTTCCCTTTAAGCAAAACGGAAAAGAATAATTTTTGATTTTGTTTTATCAACCCTCTTTACTATTAACATTTAGCAGAAAAAAGTCTTCTGTGTCAGAACGTCTTGTACGTAGCGAGCTGTGTGAGTCCTGGAGATTCGCACAAAGCCTAAATCTTATTGGTCAGTTTACGTTGGTAAATTTGGCGACTTGGCGCTTTTTCTGTAAGCTGAAAATGAAAGAGGGTGTTTGGATCCTGCCAGAGCTTTTTACCCTGCGCGGTTCTGGCGGGTCGCTGGTTTATGAGCTGTGTGTGTGTGTGTGTGTGTGTGTGTGTGTGTGTGTGGCGAACTGAAGAGCTGACCCAGTTGTAACTGTTTGACCTGCTACTGCTGCGTTCACACCAAACATGTAATGGTGACAGACACGGTGCTGCAACACTGTTCTTGGATCGGCTGCAGGCATATGGAGTCCATTCCTTCTGCATGTTCTCCACTGACAACTATTAAAACATTTTCTGATTATGTTCCACCAAATCTCTGTGACCGCAGCGCGTAGACCCAGAAACATCGTCCTACAGGATGTTTACTGCTACGGGACAAACTGAGACGAACCCTCTGAACTGATTGACAGGCTGTGCATCATGTCGGTTGAACAAGCGCCTGACAACAGAGGTGATGAAACGCCTCATGGCCCCACCTCGAAAATGACCCGGCGCCGCTGAGCAGCTACTGGTAGCTTCACCACATCAGTTCACCGTCTCACCGGCTGATGATGGTGCTGAGATTCACTTGTCTGTCTGATTTTCAAATATTTTGTTTTATTGAGGATTTTTGTACATATGTTTTGTCAGTACTGTGATTGAGGCAGAGCAGCAACTTATATTAAAAAGTGTTTTAATTTTCGTCCGGATGCTGCACGTCTCCATGGAAGGATAAACATGTGATGACTAAAATCACGATACCCTCACTGTGAGACCCTCTGAATAATGAACCATTTAAATAAAGAAATCCCTGCATGGTGACACCTCGATAGAGAGCGTTCATTTTGTAGCGTTAACATCGGAGCTGTAAGGTTTATGTCAGTCAGCTTTTCTCCATTATACGCTTCCCGACCGCTCCGCGCCTTAAGGGGTAAAACAAAAAAGATGCACACGTTGCACAAAACTCTGAAACAGGAGAACTGTGATACAGAATGGAGCAACGAACTATTAATCTATAATCAATAGACAGATCTATATGAAGATATAATCCATGTTTCTGTCTCATATTTCTATGGCATTAAAGGAACTTTAGTTTTTCCACTGAAAGCTCTGGTTTGCACAGTAAATGCCATGTGGGTGAAATTTTATGGATGATTCTCTGATGTCCCATTCTCCTGAAGGCAGCACAGAGCTGCACCACCAGAAACACTGAAGAGAAGAAGAGTTATGATTAATGTAGTTACAGTTCTATCCATGTTTTAATGCTGCAGAGCTCAGTCGGTTTGCAAATAGATCAAAGTTTAAACTGGCATGTTGTTCATCTTTTATCTGCTCATTTTGTGTAATATTTAACAACTAGAAAATGGCAAAGAACAAGAATATTTTTTCCACTCTGATTGGATGTTAGGCCTACAGATTTTATCTTGAATGTTCATTGCATTTTTTGTAAACACCTGTGAAAATAATTTCTATTCCCATGGCTTTTTTGTTCTCTGGGAAATTATTTTTGATGATAAGTAGAGAAACAAGCATAAAAATCAAAACATCTACAATAGTGATAGTAATATTAATGATAAAATAATAGTCAGTGCAAAGTAGCCTACAGATTCTTTGGTGGGGCGGTGAGGGACCTGGATAAGGGCTGGGGGGGCGCTGGCCCAAAAAGGTTGAGAAACACTGATCTAGATGAAGCATTTCTGTATTTTGGGGAAAAGGTTCAGACGGTAAATCTGGGTGGGGCGTGAAGTCCAGATTTCTGGTCAGAATCAAACTTCCAGGTCTTCTGCTGACGGTTCTGTCTCAGAACCCACAACCCGACCCGGGATGTGGCTAAAAATAGTCTCTGATTTTCAATTTATTCTTTTATTTTCTCACTTTTTATAAAACAGAAATTTTTTCATCAGGGCAACACTTCAAGACTTTTTGTTTAATTCTGAGAACATAGTTGTAATTTTAGCAGAATAAAGCTGCATCATCTTACCAGAAACGTCTTCAACTCCTGAGAAAAAGTCGTTTTAAAGAGAGAAAAGCTTCCAGTTATCAGGATCCCTCTAGTTTCTTAGTCCTGCTGCTGATAAAAGATTTTAAAATATGAAATATTTCCTTGTCTGAACTAGAGGTGTGTCGATCAATCTGCCACCGGTCAAAATCGGCCGATTTTCGTGAAAAAGTGTATGATCGGTGATGGATCAGCGTTTCTTGTTGCTGATCACAATCCGATCATCTGCATCTCCTGTTTCCTTCTCAGCCTGCAGCTGCTCTCCTGTAGTGAGGAACTTTAACTGACTGGGGTCGTTTGGTGTTGGGTTGCAGAATTACCTCGGGGTGAAGCATCAACACCACGAATCTAATATATTTAAAAACAAGAACTTGATTGATTTGGCTGCATCAGTGCAGGAACCAAAGACATCCGGACCCATCAGCAGGTAGAGCAGCGCAGCTACCAACACTCACCGGATTAGCATCACGGTCAGAAAGCTGAACAAATAACCCCAACAATAATCCAAGTCTTGGAGCTGCGGAGTGAGACGCCGGTTCTGGTTCTGGTTCTGCTGTCGGACCGCGGCTAGTGGGGGTAATATTTGCCAGACGGGCTCAGCCTCCAGACGGTGAGCTCTCACAGCGAGCAGCTGCTTGGAGCTGAAAACGGATCTGATCTGAAAAATGAACGGCTCTCCTCCTCTTGTGTTCTGCAGAATTACTGGGCTCAGCAGAGACAAACGATCAGCCAGGAGGTTCTGGTTCAGTAACTCAGGACTGTTTGTTTGATAAAGGCAGATTTATCCGACTTACTGTTAAATATTATTTTACTGATTGCAGGTTTTTCAGTCCTTTTGACTGAATAGCTGCTGTTATTCAGTTATTCTGCTGTTATAACTGCAAGTATTTTGCATTTGTATGTGTGAATTAGGTGAATTTATTGACGGATCACATTTATACGTAAAGCGAAAAATTAACAGCCAATCCAGGTGATCGGCTGCAAAAAGCCTGATCGGAGCGTCCCTCCTGAAAACTGATACCAAAACAGAATTTAATTTGTATAGTTCTCATGAAATGACTTCTTCTTTCTCCTCATATTCTGACTTTATTTTAGTAATTAAATAAGTGAAATGATTTGAGCGGTGAGCAACGCTGAAAGCAGAAATTAGATTTACCGTAAATCCCGGACTACAGAGCGCACCTGATTATAAAACGCACGCTCTAATTTCAAAAAGAAAATTAATTTTGATTTTTTATAAGCCACACCAGATTTTAAGCCGCAGATTTCTCTACTGCTCCAGGTTTTCCACAGCGATGCAGCAGCAGCAGAGGGGCGGACAGCCGCCATCTGAGTCATAACAGGTCAATTAAATATCACATTTATTATGGTTGAAAAAGAAAAAGGTGCCAAGTTTAGATTTAACTGAACTGATTACGGTAGTTTCTGAACGGTAACTGTAACAGTGCTGATCCTTCGTGTTGCTACTAGCATGAGCTAAATGAAAATGGCCGCTTTCTTCTTCTTCTTCTTTAGATTTCAACAGCAGCTTGCATCCATTATTGCTGCACTACTGCCATCTACTGGATCCTAATATCTATACCTCAAATTCTCATAATGATCCCAGTATTATTTAAAAAACGAAAAATCTTCTTTTTCTCCTCAGTGCTATGTACTGATTAAGAACATTCTCAAATTTCAATTCCCTATTAAAACCTAATTCTGTTTTAATGGCGCTTTCTTCTTTTATTTCCAATTTTGACTTCCAATGATTCACTTCCTGCTAAAGAGCCCCCTGGTGGTTGAAGAAAAATCCACATATGAGCCGCATGGTCCAAAGCTTAGGAAGAAAGTAGCGGCTTATAGTCCGGAAAATACGGTAGTTTATTAAAATAAATTTATATCAAATAAATCAACATTAGAATTTAAAAAATTGAAGCAGTAGCAGACAGGAATGATGCAGAGTGGGGATGTTTATCGATTCTAGAAAATCAATTCATCCCATTGATCCATGTGGATCAGAACCACTCGAAACAGGAAAAAAAACTACATAACTTTTTACTGCCTATATTAATAATGTTAACGCTGCATTATTAACATGCAGACATTTTGTCCTGGGAATGATTTAAAAACAATTATAGATCATGTTTGTGACACATGAACTTACTGAGTGGCTTCAAATATTAAACCATTGATTCATTAAAATACAACAAAATCCATGATTTTTGGTAACGGAGATTATTCCTGATGTCCGGAGATGATGCTGCAGTTACATGAAGTTGAGGTTTTACAGATTATTTTGATCATAAATTTTACTGGAAATCTCAAAATACAAGAAACAAAAACTTTGTAAAAGTGAAAACATTTTAAAACTCATTTTCACACTCCAGACTTCAGATTATTAATTTGTTTCTGGTTTATTGTTTGGAGGCAGAGGTCGAATTAAACAAGTATTTTTCGTCTCTTATGGTTTTTAAACGTCGGCGGCCATTTTGACGGATCGCTTCGCCGACGTTTCCAACTTTACGCTCATCAGATGATTATTACAAATTAATTTATAAAAGTTTTCTGTTTTAAGATCAAGTGGAAGAAACGGCAGGAGGAATGATTTCAGAAGAAATAAATTAACATTCAAAAACATTTTGTCATTCAATATATAGATTATAGAGATTATATAGATTATACATTATATCAGCAGTTAAAATAATACATAGTTATGTTAAACATACTGCATCTGAACTACTATATTTTTCTTTATATCAGATAATATCCTGGATATTTCACTATTTACGCTAATCCTTCATCTTCTATGTTAATTTTTAAATAAAACTGGAAAAATTCTAATTTTTTTCCAGTAGCTGCGGTGCTAACCTCTGTAGCTGCGTATAATAAACATTTTATAAGAACAAAATGTTTATTATGGGAATGATGTTTGTAACTTTATATTGTAATTTAATTTAAACTGCCATGAAATGTATTTAGTTATTATTGAGAAAGAATCAGGTTTATTCTACTTCCTGCTTCATCTTCAGCAGTAAGTAAGGTGTTTGTGTATTAACTTAAGGTTGCCATGGCAACGGGCACAGACCCGGACCAGAGGTGTAATCGGTTCTGACTTCCCCCTGCAGAGCTGAAGCGTTCGCTCTACGCGCTCTTCTCCCAGTTCGGCCAGATCGTCGACATCGTGGCCATGAAGACGATGAAGATGAGGGGCCAGGCCTTCGTCGTGTTCAAGGAGCTGACGGCCGCCACCAACGCGCTGCGCCAGCTGCAGGGCTTCCCCTTTTACAACAAGCCCATGGTACGCCGCCGCGCAGCTGACCGCCTCTGTAGCCGCGACACTAGCCTCTGTAGCTGCGGTGCTAACCTCTGTAGGTGCGATGCTAACCTCTGTAGGTGCGATGCTAACCTCTGTAGGTGCCATGCTAACCTCTCTAGCTGCCATGCTAACCTCTGTAGCTGCGATGCTAACCTCTGTAGCTGCCGTGCTAACCTCCGTAGCTGCGGTGCTAACCTCCGTAGCTGCGGTGCTAACCTCTGTAGCTGCGGTGCTAACCTCTGTAGCTGCGGTGCTAACCAGTTCTCCTCTCTTCCAGAGGATCCAGTATGCTAAAACCGACTCGGAGGTCATCTCTAAGATGAAAGGCACCTTCAGCGACAAGGAGAAGAAGAAGGAGAAGAAGAAGAAGGCCCAGGAGGCAGCGGCGGCAGCTAACGCCGCTAAGAAGCCTTCAGCGGTGAGTGACCCCTGCATGACCTCTGGCTGAGGTCACATGCTCCACACTTGGTTCCTTTCTGTTGGATCACAGCTGCTGTCTGTTTCCTGTCTGCAGACTCTAGCTGTGCCTGCGCAGACGCCTGCAGTTCAGGTAAGCCGTCTGAGCTCACCTGAGCCGGTTCTGAAGCTAGCCACCAACCCGTCCGATCAGAACCTGGCCCAGAACATCCATTGCTTCAGTTTGGTTTACAGAAATCTGAACAGTGTGGCTTAAACCAGTCCAGAGGTTCTGGTCTCAGTAGAACCCAAACAGCATCATGGAGGAACCCAGCAGCGGGTCAGGAGGTTCTGGTTCTGATTCTGTTTATAGCAGGTTAGGCCGTCTCATGTTAGCCATGTAAAAGAGCCTTCAGACACTGTGAAAACTATCGGAAACGATTTAGGTTCAGGTTTCGAGCAGATCAGACTGTTCTGGGTGGAACAACACGGATTGGATTGTTCAGAACCAACCTGTGGATGTTTTCGGGTCAGAACCAACCCGTCTCTCTTCTGTTTTCAGGTTCCAGACAATCCTCCAAACCACATCCTGTTCCTGAACAACCTGCCAGAGGAAACCAACGAGATGATGCTGTCCATGCTGTTCAACCAGTGAGTGTTCAGCTCCTGCAGACTAGCCAGCAGCAGTTAGCAAACACCGCTGAGCTCGTTACAGCAGCTGCTGCTCAGAGCATCACTGGTAAAAACATTAAGGGGTTAAAACAGGAGCCATGTTGGAATGACTTCCTGGAAGCGGAGCTTCAGAAAGAGACGGAGACCCAAAAGAGACGTTCATAAGGAAATCAAATTTCTTTCAAGTCATGAGTGATTTATGTAGTATTTTCTAACAACTGAAGGAAACAGTTACTGGATTAAAACGATTCTGTGTCCCTGGAAAATAGATGATACTGGTCCTTTAACATGAAGAAACGTCCAGCAGAAGCAGAGCAGAAATCTGCTGGCGCTAACTCAGGGCTGAGTCACAACTCAGTGACAGCAACAAGGCGACACGCTGCCGGATCGTAGCGCAGAGGCAGGAAAGTGTTTCTGGACAAAAACTTTAGTTTGTCTCCGTTTAAATGAAACATCGTCCAGGTCGTTAAGTCCCGCCTGTGGCCTAAACAAAGGCTCTGCAGCTGAGCTAAGGACCGCCCACCTGATTAGCATAATGACCTTGATGTCGGGTCTTAATGTTTCTGTTGCTCTGTGTCGGTTTCTGCAGGTTTCCGGGCTTCAAAGAAGTGCGCCTGGTTCCGGGGAAACACGACATCGCCTTCGTGGAGTTTGAGAGCGAGACGCAGGGGGGCGTGGCCAAAGACGCGCTGCAGGGCTTCAGGATCACCGCCACCTGCGCCATGAAGATCACCTACGCCAAGAAGTAGCTGCTCCGCCCGCACTTTGGACTCACTTTTACTTTATTACTGTTTCTTTTTGACGGATTAAAGAATCATCTGGATTTTTGTAAAATAAATGAATTAAACGACTTATCAGTTTGGTTTCTGCCTTCTGGGACAAAATATTGATTCAGAAAAAAAATCTAATTATAAATGACAGGATGATTTTCTCCTAACGTTTCTGTAAAGCAGAACATTTATTAATATTTAGATCAAATCAGGAGTTTCTATGAGATGCAGTGGTTTATTTCTCTAATCTGAGTTAAATTAAACCAAAACGTTCTGGGAGGGCTTTTAATTTGAAAAGGCAGAACTGTGGATCTGTAAACAACACGGATGCTGATGATCAGCAGCTGTTGGCAATTGCTGGGTGTTAGCAATCAGCATTTGTTAGCAATGAGCAGCTGTTAGCGATCGGTAGCTGTTAGCGATCGGCAGCTGTTGATCAGTAGCTGTTAGTAATCAGCAGCTGTTAGCAATCGCTGGGTGTTAGTGATCATCAGCTGTTAGCAATCAGCATTTGTTAGCAATCAGCAACTGTTAGCGATTGGTAGCTGTTAGCAATCGGCAGCTGTTGGTGATCAGTAGCTGTTAGCAATCGGCAGCTGTTAGCAATCAGCGGCTGTTAGCGATCAGTAGTCGTTAGCAATCAGCAGCTGTTAGCGATCAGCAGGTGTTAGCGATAGGTACCTGTTAACAATCAGCGGCTGTTAGCGATCGGCAGCTGTTAGGGATCGGCAGCTTTTAGCAATCGGTAGCTGTTAGCAATCAGCGGCTGTTAGCGATCGGCAGCTGTTAGCGATCAGCAGCTGTTAGCAATCAGCGGCTGTTAGCAATCGGCAGCTGTTAGCGATCAGCAGCTGTTAGCAATCGTTGGGTGTTAGTGATCAGCAGCTGTTAGCATTCAGCATTAGTTAATGATCGGCAGCTGTTGGAGATCAGTAGCTGTTAGCAATCGCTGGGTGTTAGCGATCAGCAGCTGTTAGCAATCAGCAGCTGTTAGCGATCGGTAGCTGTTAGCGATCGCCAGCTGTTGGTGATCAGTAGCTGTTAGCAATCAGCAGCTGTTAGCGACCAGTAGCTGTTAGCGATTAGCGGTTGCTGGTTGTTAGCGACCAGTAGCTGTTAGCGATTAGCAGCTGTTAGCGACCAGTAGCTTTTAGCGATCAGTAGTTGTTAGCGACCAGTAGCTGTTAGTGATTAGCAGTTGCTGGGTGTTAGCGACCAGTAGCTGTTAGCGATCAGCAGCTGTTAGCGATCAATAGCTCTGCTTGTGGATGTTTAGTGTACTACGGAGCAGAAAGCTATCAATAGTAGCCACACAGGCTCACCTGCTAGAAGGAAACAAACGCACCCAGTACAAGACTTTCATTCTATTGGCTGAGAGGTTGCCAGGCAACTAAGGCCGTTCCATGTTTTGTAAGTGAGCAGAGTCTTCTTTCAACATTAACATGTGTTCTTTAATTATACCAGCAAAATTCTCCCATACAATAAAAAAAGGCTTTAACTGAGCCGCTCCTCACACGTGGAGGAACAGTTCCGCTCTGGTCCCGGTTCTGATGGCGGTCCGGTTCGGTCTCATGTGGATTTTATTGTTTGAATTGAAACGTTTGTTATTTATGGTTAACTTCCAACAAGACGCCGGAAGAAAGAAAAGTTTTTATTTTGATTTAAAACATTTTAAGAGCTTAAAGAAATAAAAATGAATTAAATCCAGATTTATCTTGGATAAAAATTTAATTGACAGAAGTCCAGTTTAGGAGTCCAATCAAATCAGGCAAGACTTTTGCTGTGAAATAAAAATAAATAGAGGCTAAAAGAAGTCAGAAAATGTTTATTTTGTTCAGCTCTGACCTTTCACAATAAAAATCATGTTAAACAAAAAATTCTCGTGATTATTATGTCACACAGCTTCAGCTGCTTCTTCTTGAAATAAATGTCCTTTCAAATTAAAAGCCCATCCATTAGCTTTTAATTTTAAAAAAGTGGAGGTAAGAAGAAACCGTTTAAAAATAAGAAACTGATTTTTGTTTAACATTTCCTGATGTTTTCACATTAAAAGCATCAAAAAGCAGAAACATAAATAAAAACATTTCCCTTTTCTGGTTCCAGCTGCTGCCGGCTCCACACCTAAAGCTTTTAATTTGAAAATCCTCCTCCTTTAGTGTTTCCTGTCGTCAGGCTGTTGATCAGAGTTTCAGCCAGACAGGTCATGTGACCTGATCTTCCTCCTCTATCTCCTCCTCCTCTGGAAGGCCTTCGCCTCCCTCTGCCGCTGCAGGTCGTCCTGCGGCTCGTAGTCCGAGTCGTCGCCCGAGTCGTCGCTGATGAAGCTGTCGTCGTCGGGGTCGTCGTCGGGGTCGTCGTTGGGGGGTCTCGTGGCGGCGGGGCGGGGGGCTGCAGAGAGGAGTCTGGGTTTCAGAACCGATCGGCTCTCTGCAGATGAAGAGCTTCAAAACGCTGCTCTTCATCTTCACTTCCTTCCCAGAACTTCACTAGCAAACCGTCCGGCTGCGTCCATCCGCCATGCTGTCAAACCCGCTCAGAACCCGGCCCGTTTGTTAGCTCTGGCCAGTAAAACGTGAAAAACCCGTAACTAAAGGCCGGACTCACCGGGTCGCTCTGGGTGTCTGAACTGCTTCCGGTGGACAGGATTCTTCCTGAAAGCAGAGAGTTTCAGCCGTGACATCACACAAGGTTTTATGACATCACAGCTCAACAGATTCATGAAGAACAAACGGATTAAAGTCACTGCTAGAAAATAACGAGCCGATCAGGAAGGGAAATGTCTAACATCAACAAATAACTATTTTAAAAGGATAATTAATCGCATCCGTAGTTTATCGGGTCCGGAGTTAATCGGGTCCGGAGTTAATCGGGTCCGGAGTTAATCGNCTGGCGCTCAGTGACAGAGGTTAGGATGACAGGTGTTGGATTGAAGTTGATTTTATTGTCTCTTTGATTTGATATTTGCATCTGTTTCTTGCTACTGCTGAACACCATGTGAGCCCCTCATCCTAACCGCATCACCCCTTCATCCTAACCGCATCACCCCTTCATCCTAACCCCATCACCCCCTCATCCTAACCTCATCACCCCCTCATCCTAACCCCATCACCCCTTCATCCTAACCCCATCACCCAACCCTTAAATGAGCAAACAGTCCCTGGTGGACATTCTGTATCCTCTGATAGGTGTAACTAATCATGGTGTTCAAATGAATAAACCAACAAGGTGTAACTACTGGTGGTTTAGCAAAACAAAGAAGATAAAAATATCTCCTCTGCGATTTGTAAACCAAAACACAAAATCCTAACCTGGGCAAACTTTAAGAGCATGTTGTGAAAATGAGAACGACCGTTAGCAGGTCTAATCTGGGGAGTTCTGTAACTCGGGTGGCTGGTGAGCTAACCCATCGACCAGTTCCTAATGATTTTCACCAGAACCAGTGGACTGGGTTTGGACCTGTAGTGACCTGGTTCTGACCCAGTTTATTGTCTGGATCTGGAATAATTCGGGATAAAAAGCATTTGACGAACCTGGAGGGAACCGGGCTTTAGGTTCTGATCCAGGAGGTTAAAGAATATAGACAGTCACACACAGTCAGCTGATTTGCTTCACTTTATTAAAGCTGTGGGTTCAGGCATAAATACCGAGGAGCTACAGCGCCCTCTATCAGGTCAAACTGGTACAGCAGGACGGAGGTAGAGCTCAGGAGCAGCAGGACTGTTGGTCGGTTCTGGATTAGACGACCCGGTGGAGCCCAGCTGCAGGTCAGTAGAAATGAATGAATGAATGAATCTGTGTTCTCAATTTGAGGATGAAACTTTCTTAGATGAACCATTTATGACGTTTGTTAAATAACCTCTGAAATGAAAGCAGCTGTTCATAGTGAATGACTTCTGACTGCAACTGAACACCAGAACCAGACGAGCCGTCTCACCTGACCAGGTGAGTCCTCTCAGGTTAAACTGAGCTTGGTGGATTCATGCATGTTAGTGAAGGTTATGATAATTAACAGGTAAATACAAATTAATATAATAAAAATACACTTAAAATCAGACTGAGGCTCAACACTGTAGCCTTGCTGTCCTATCCTGTAGTTATTATTATATTATTATGATGATGATTATGGTAGTAACTGTAGTATTGTGGACATTTTGTAGCTCAGTGGAGCAGCAGCATCTTCTCAGTCTGGGTGTTTTGCTCTCATCCGTCCTCTTGGGGGCGCTCTGGGTTTCAGCCACACATGGTCACAAAGAGCCACTGTGGAGAAGCAACAGACAAACAGTGAATGTCAGGCTATGGTCAGGCGCCCCCTGGTGGCTACATTTCCTATCTGTTGTCATGGAAACGTCAGTTCATTGGAGTCTCACTGGATATCTAGAATCAGTTCATTAGAATGATCCGTTCATCAGATCACACAGTTCATTTCGACAGAACAGCGCCTTCTCCAGCACAATCTGCGTACTGCATTATTCAGAACCCGATCCTTTTCCACCATGACCAGAACCTGGAAGACCTGCCTAGCAGGACGCCGACCTCCTCCCAGCTGAGACTGAATCATCCAGTGAAGTGATTCGCTTCAGTTCGTTCACTCATCGGCGGTGACCGCTTTAAAACATTTAAGAAGAAAATAAGTTCGTACCATCTTCAAGACTGTAATGCTAAGTAACATTATTTTTAATTATATTTTTATTTTTTTCAATTACTTATGTAAGTTTCACATTATTCCAGTAACAAAAAGGATTTTGTGTATCTCACTGCTTAATAAGTTAACAGTGAGCTGGTGAAACTAGATGAATAAATGAAAGTCTGATGCTGGAGAAGTAAGCTAGCAATATTTATGCTAGCAATATTTATGCTAGTGATATTTATGCTAGTGATATTTATGCTAGCAATATTTATGCTAGCGATATTTAAGCTAGCAATATTTATGCTAGCGATATTTATGCTAGCAATATTTATGCTAGCAATATTTATGCTAGCGATATTTTTGCTAGCAATATTTAGGTTAATAATAACAGAAGGAAAAAGTCAAGTTAATATCATCCAATCAGGTGGAAACGCCTATTCAGTTCCTTCATCCAAGATGGGAATGACCAGAGTGGTTTGGAATCATCAGTCAGAAAACAGGACATGACATCGGCTAACTGGACCAAGTCCAGAGGGCCAGAACTAAGTTGTAAAGTAAAAGGACAGAACAAGGTTTGGTACCTCCATGAGGTTCATCTCCACAGTTCCAGTCCCGTCTCTGTCCAGACCCTGGAAGATTCCTGACCAACAGACTCCAACAGGTCAGTTCAGAACCACATGAACAGAACCGGCTCATGGATCAGGGTGTGGACTTACTGAACATGGTCTCCAGTTTCACCAGGCAGCAGGTGAAGTTGTCGAAGTCGATGATCTCATTGTCGGCGTATCGAGCGATCAACATCTGATACAGCTTGTTGTTCAGTTTGAACCCTGCAGACGGAGCACATCCCGGGTCAGGTCTGGAGAACCAAGCTCAGTCCAACCCAAACTTCTTCCGGGAACATAAAACTCACCGCCGTTTTCCAGCGCCAGACGCATCTCATAAGAGTTCATGCAGCCGGACTTATCCAGATCAAAGTCTCTGAAGATCCCCTGGAACACAATATTATCTCCTGAAAATCTAAACTGGACCCAACAGGTCCTTAACCCTGACCCGTTTGGGTCAGAACCAGCCTGACTACTCCACTGACTCACCAGCCACTTCCTAATCTTGTTCCAAAGGATCTGAAACTCCAGCAGACCGAGCCGAGCGCTGCCGTCTTTCTGAGCTCCAGTTAAGGTCTACCTGATCCAGACCCGGTAATGTGATCTGACCTGGCCAGAACCTCGTTCAGGCCAGGTCAGAACTGACCCTGTCATTCAGAGGGAGGATACGTCCATAAGGCTGACCATGGCCCGGCAGGACTCCATGCTGAATCCATCCGTCTGCAGGTCTCTGTCTGCAACAAGACACAAGAAACAAGAAGCATCTTCAGGAAGTGGAACCTGAAACCTTCAGACTGTGATGTTCTGGATCTACCCTGCAGACCCACAACATCTCCACCCAGTGTACACCTGGTAGATTCTGTTATGTGGAACCTGATTGGCTGCAGAAACATGGATAACCCGCCCTACACGTGCATTTTTCAAAAAGACTCACGTTTGGAGACGACCCTGTTGAGGACGGTTCTGAGCTCCCGCACTGAGATCTCCATGTCCTGAGGACAGAAAGCAAATAGTGAGCAGGTTTCTGAGCATGCTCAGAGCTGAGCAGTCACTAAAAGAGCCTGAGGAGTTGAACTCACGTCTCCAGACAGCTGAGCAAACAAAGACCTAAAGGAGTCGTCAATGTCATGCTCAGAGATTTCCTCCTATGAACACCAAAGGGAACATCAGCCCAACAGAATATCTTTAAAAAAAAAACAGCAACATCATCTCCAGTGACGTCAGACCACTTTTTTCAGTAACGACTAATCGAACGCGTTGCTTTTTCACATCCAGTAGTCTGATTTTGTGACCATTAAACAATTAGTTCAACCTTATAAGTGGAGACACATAGTTGATGCTACCATTATAAAATAATTTGCAATGAAGTTTTGGCAAACCTCAAAGTAATTTTCAGAGGTAGCAGAGCGTTGCTGTTAGCAGCTGCTCAAAGTAACTACAAAAGTTACTTTTAATGTAACTTAGTTACTTTCCAAATCAAGTAGTCAGTAATCTAAGTTGCTTTTCCAAGGAATAATCAGTAATCCAATTAGTTACTTTTTCAAAGTAACTATGTTGTCACTACTCATCTCTCACCTCCTCATCCAGGTTTGCCACCAAGACATCGTCCATGTCCCTGCAGAGGTTCACATGAGCATCAATCAGAGAAGAATGAAAACCACAACCAGACCGTCTCCAGTTTTCTCACAGACTCACTCGGTCTCGGACTGTTTCTCAGTGAAAACCCTGAGGACAAAGTCTGCCTCCTTCGAGGGTTCAAATGTAGACGGGACGATCAGGTACTCTCCGGGTGGGAGGCGGAACCTGGAGCTCACCTCCCGCAGGTTGATGAAGCTTTCAGAGCGAGCGCAGGAGGAGCGGCGCAGGAAGAAGTCCTTCTTCATGTGGACACCTGCAGAACCTCGGAACTGCCAGATGACCGGATGGAGAGCATCAACGTCGTTCCCAGAAACCGTACATATGAAATAAATTATAAGAACTGACCTCCTTGGGAATCTGTGAATGAGACAGAAAGAAGAAATTCTGAACGGTCTGTAATGATGAAAGTGAGTAACCGCACCTCAGTGCGGTCCTACAGGACTGACTAGAGGTTCTGACGTTTGCTTCAATCTGATCTTACAGTAGGTGATCGAATCAATCACCAGCAAACACAATGAACCAGACATTCCTGCTGTGTTCCAGCGAAAGGCTGAAGGAGCACCAAAGTACCAAAGGCACCAGGTGATGGCCAACCAAACACCGAGGACTTCCTGTCCTGTGGGTGAACGTCCAAAGGTTCCTGCATTTGCTAAGAAGGTTGATTCACTCTGACTGCTACTTCCTACGACATTTAGTCTCTTGAAGTTGCTTTGATCAAGAGTTTTCCAGGCTGCTGGAGGGAAAACCAGACCTGGATCCAGAGTTCCTTCCAGAGTCCATTGGAAACAAAAGGTTCTCCAACCAGACCCGCTTTAATCAAACTCTAGATCATTTGCCTGGGAAATCCGGTTTGTTAGGGGAGATCTGAATGCATAATCGAACTGTGATATGGATGAAAAGCGCAAACTTTGGTCCACCTACAAACCTCTGTCTTCTTCAGAGGTTTTTGTGTCTTTTCCCCTCCTGGTCTGTGCAGCGCCACCACAGGCCAGGAGGGGAACAAGTTGGTTTGACTCAGAGCAGAGAAAGAACCACAGCAGCTGGAGGTGGAGCAGATGATGGAGCTCTGGTTCCAGTAGAACTGGGTCGACTGGACCATCAGGAGGGAAACGGCTTTAGGGCAGCGTTTCTGGCAAGGTGGTTAGTTTTCATGCAGTTCTCAGAGAACGTGGTGGTTTTTGTGGTAGTAGAAGAAATGTTGCAATACTCTAGCAGCTCTAACCTCATAGATGGCGAAGCCGATGGTGTGCATGTCCTGGCCATGGCGGCGGAACTGGCGGCGGTCCTTCTGCATCAGAGCCACCAGGAAGCTGCAGGCGGCCTCGTCATCCTCAGGGTCATCGTCCTCCTCTAGAAGAGTGATCTTGTACTGAGGGTTGATCCAGAAGGTGTCTGCAGGTAGGCATCATGGGAAATGAAGTCTGATCAGAGACAGGTTTATGACTGTGGTGCAGCTGAAGGTTCTAGGCCAGGGGTCCCCAAACTTTTTCCTGCGAGGGCCACATGACTGTTCCCTTTTCTGGTCGGGGGCCGGTCTTACTTTTTCGAGAAAGAAACCTTAGAAAAGTTTTGTTGACGGGGGTGGGAGGGGGGATTGGATTACTGCCAACGACATATTCGCGTTTGTAGATAGATTTTTACCCAGAATGCAAATCGAAAAAAACCGTGAGCGAAACGGTGACTGGTGCTGACTAGTATATATTCCATTGAGGGAAACTAAGTTTCATATCTGCTCAAGAGCCCCCCTGGTGGTTGAAGAAAAATCCACATATATATGAAAAAAAAACACTGAATGCTCTCTGGTATTGTTCAGGGGGCCGGACCAAATGAGGAGGCGGGCCGGATCCGGCCCGCGGGCCGTAGTTTGGGGACCCCTGTTCTAGATCCTTTATCCTCACTGGGGTGGTTCCTGCAGCCTCCAGCTGTGCTTCCTTTCCTCCAGCTGCCCTCGTATGTCACAGTGGTCCAGAAGCTGGTGGCATCCTGACTCAGTGCATCTGGAGTCAGGTTGCAAATCTCCAGACGTGAAAACTGATGCAGAAACTCCTGGAAGGACATCCTGACACAGAAGAACATCAACCCGTTGGGACATTCTGGAGTTAAAGGACTTGGACTGCCCAGTACCAACCTACCAGAACTCTCCATCCTCCATCTTACACAGCATCTCATCCTTTTCTGCAGAATCGATGGCGTTCCACTCTGAGGAGCTGAAACATCAAGATTCCCATTGATGATCCAACTCAAATCTCTTGTTCTCCCTTTCTGTGGAGCACTGACCTGTCGCTCCAGGCTCCGGTCCACTCCACCTGACCCCAGGGGTTCCTGATCCGGATCAGACGCTCCTGCCGCCCGCGGTACTCCAGCTGCAGGAGAAACCAAGAGACAACAAGCATCAGTTGGCTCTGGTCCAGCATCCAGACTGTAGCACCAGGTTGTCTAACCATGACAGTGAGAGCAGCTCTGAGCTCACCTGTCTGACACCAGTCACTGAGTAGGCGTGGCCTTTCACCAGCTTCTTGAAGGTAATGGCCTCCATGTCAAAGGCACTGGTGATCTGAGGACAGAGCACCCTTAGTCACCTTCAACTCACTCAGACTTAGTTTGTTTCTAAAGGAGGCCCAATGGACTCTGGGGTCCGGGAGATACTGGAGGCTGACTGGAATAAGTCCAGCAGGGACTCACATCTATGGAGCATCCCAGCAGAGATCCTCTCTCCAGAGCTTTGCCCATGATCCGGTAGAGATCTCTGGGAGCTTTTTTCAGCTCATACATCTCCGCCACGCCTCCAGTAAAGTCCTCAAAACCTTCAGTGGTGCTGCCGCCGGACAAGGCCTCGTACGAGCCATTCAGCCTCAGAAAACACAAACAGGGATGGATGGTTGGATGGATGAACAGGTGGATGGACAAATGTATGGATGGTTCTAATTCTTACTTGGCGTAGGCCTTCTCCAGCAGGGCGCTCCAGAACTCGCTTCCCTCAGCTGAATGGACAAACAGCAGTTCTCCATCTTTAACTGGCAGCCGGTCGTCAATTACCACGTCCACCCACTCGCCAAACTGCCAGAACTGAGGACAGAGAGGAGGACGGACAGACTGAATCCAATCCTGTCTAATAAATTCAGATTTGTAGAATCAGCACTGAACCTCTGTGACGACCTAGTCCAAGGATCCAGGCCTGCAGGGCCGGTGACCTGCTAATGGCCTGATGATGAAGCAGAGACAAACCTGCAGTGCACTGGCCCTACAGGCCTGGAATGGAGCTCTCTGGTCTAGTCCTTCCTCCTCCAGGTCAGGGGGCGTGGCCTGCTGGCAGGTAGAATCTCACCTGGAAGTGGAAGATGCCGGCGTACAGGTGGCTGAAGTCCTGGCCAGGAGGAACCACCCGATGAAGTAGCTGCTGGTTGAGAGTCAGAGATCCGATAGCAGCCAGCAGCCAGCAGTCGCCTGGAGGAAACAGCGAGAGCAGTTAGCTGACACTTCACTTGGCCAGGAGAGAAAAGGAGAGAAAAGGTGAGAGGAGAGAAAATGAAAGAGATGGAGAGAGACGGAGGCGCCGTCAGCCGCCATCAAACCCTTGTATTGCTGCCTCTCTCTACAGGCAGCAACTTGGACGGGTTTGTGCAAAAAGACCTTCAGATGATCATTTAGATCAGTGGCCCCCAACCCCCCAATTGGTACCGGGCTGCGCAAGAAATAATTAAATATTTAAATAATTAAATATTT